AGAGGGGTGTTTTGTGTTCCTTCTGATTTAGGTCGATTGGTAGGCCGCGGTACCTACTATGTACTTATGTACCTGAATTTGCACCAGTTATAAGATTGGTAATAGCATTCTTTGGCATCGAATCGTACATATTATTGTATTTTAGACCACCTGTACACTAGTAATCAAATGCGATGAAGCCAATGCGCTAGCCCTAAATGCGCTGCCCTAACTAAAAGCTCAAAACATATTTCACTGTCGGCGAAATACCAAAAGCGTACCTCGTAGCGCGTAGTTTGCAGCACGTAGTTCGTAGTGCGTAGCAGCGTTTTTAAGCTATTAATTTTTATTTAGAATAAATAAGCAAATACAGTTGAACGTAATGACAGGACAGGTGTGGTGTTAGTAGGTGTAGCGGGATGTAGCTAAGCATTGTGTCGGTGGGCGCCACACACGTGCCCGCGCCGTGACAGTGAAATACCTACTTGAAGGCCGCGGACGTGTATAAAAACTGTTCGATAATAACTCATTAAGTGTAACAGCTATGAAATACTTAAAACATTAACGTTCATTTAAATCGATCACAATATTTATTGAATACGAAATTACTGCTTCAGTAGACCATTCACAAATATGCATGCTACATATGTACTTAGTCGAAAAATCGATTCTTGAACAAGATACATAGTCGCTTTCTAACGAAGAAGTTGTTAATACTACTTAATAGTGAAGCTATCTGGAATAAGTGGTTCTTATGACACAGGTAGGCTCGGAGAAGCTGCTGTCATAAAGGGATGGAAATGCCCAATGTTTTATCAGACCACGTAAAGAACCTAAGGTGTACTGTTCAATTTTTCATTAAATATTTGTGTATTAAGGTTTCTGTTTTGAGGGAGAGTCATCAAAAGGCTTCTCTCAACTGGAGCGGGGCCGAGGGAGTGTTAGATTCTTACTGACTAAAAACCACGCCGTTCTTCATCTGCTCCAGGGTCGCTGTACATGCAGAAAAAACAGGCTTAGTTCTTATTACACTTTTTATATTTCTGTTATAGCATTTAGCAATAAAAAACAGTTGCTCGTTAGATGTATTTATTATTTTAACTATCTAGGGTCTTACTACTTAGAATTCGTCACAATAATAATTGAAAGCAGGTGTTGCAGTGCCTGTATGTAATTTGATTAGGCTACAATTTGCCAACGACCGTGGACTGATAACTAACAAAGGCAACATAACGCGTTCTGTGTAGGCAGGATTAGCGATCTGGCAACTTTAATTGTTGTTACAGAATATCTAACAGTCAATCAATAAACTATTTCGGTTAGATATCTTTTATTCTGTATTTATTATTTATTTACATGTCATTTAGATTCTACGAATGTGTGAAATTATTGAAATTGGATTAAAATTTTGCTCATACTTATAACACGATTTGGCTTTAAAATAAGCATGAAGAATTGGATTAAACGGTAGTTTTTTGCGTACATAATTTTGTGACTGACCTATACCTAGTAGAATTGAGTTCAGTATTTGAAACTCTGGGCCCGAGTTTTTCTAAAATTATGATTAGCTACTTACGGACAGGATTTCATTTTCGGTGATCTAGGCGCCATAGCGGCGCCAAGCGCGAGAAATACGCAGAGCCTTTTTATGGATATGTTTTATCAGGACCGCCATTGGATACCAGTACCTATCAGCAGACGTAAATAGTGGAGGAGTCGAGTGAGATGATCGTAATTTCTTAAACCAAATCGAAATTTTGCAACAAGTAATGACAAATGTTAACTTAATTCTGTTGTAATGTTATTTTACGTAGGTACATTCTAAATGCACTCAAGAAAAATCACAGCCAGATGCTAGTTTAGAGTTGTGCGCGAACGATTAAGGGCGTTCCTTTAGATAAAAGTGCTCGTTGAAGGCCGCCTACTGCGCTGGACAATGCGCGAATATTACTACAAGTTAATTGAACGATTGCAACTGTCGCACCTGTGTCACGTCCTGTCACCTTTTACGTACCAGTATTAATTTATACAATCCGGTAGTTTCAAACTAGTCAAATTCAATACTTTTATCCAAATGTCAAAAAAGATACGTTTCTATATAATTTGTATAAAACTAAAAATTGGGACGTCATAGTATTTTCGCGTAAAATGGCATAATTTTTTCTTAAAAAATAAAAATAGCTAAATAATCGAATATTTTGCGTGTCGACAGATCGATGAATAAATTAAAAGCATCTATAGTTATTTATCGATATTTTATTGTATTGAAACTTATTTGTATTGACTAGCCAATTTCAATTTAAGCATTGACAGAAGTTTGGCTATGAGTGTTTTAACAAATGTGTAAGTATCAGTGCACGTATTCAAGGCGTAATGTTGTTTGTACTTAGGTTATGTGGGGTTACCAGGTATGTAGTATGATCAGTGATTGGCTCCCTCCTTGACCTCCGATTTTAGTACTAAATGTTAAAATTGCACGTTATAATAGAATAGGATCTAAGGTAATTACGAATTGCAATCA